TTACTGTACTCCGTTTCTAACTGTAGCTTCTTTTTCATCTTCTTCAGATTACTGTACTACGTGGACTACTGTATCGCGCTTTTAGATTTCGTAATCCACAGAACTCAAAACATAAATGAGCTACAGGAATCCATCAAGATTACAGTAATCTCTGAATGAGCTACAGTAATCCATAGACTAGCTGCAAATATTCTCATTAGGATCTATGTAGCTAGTCTTTGGATTACTGTAGCTCATCCAGCAACTACTGTAGGTTTCATTCATTCGAATTTTCGAATTTTCTTGAAATTCTAGAAATTTTGTTTTCCATGAACTAATTTCCTAAAATTTCGAATTCTGCATTTCAGTTTTTCTAACTTTCAGAATTTAGGAATCTTAAAATTTCAGAATCTTAGAATTTCAGGGTTTCAAAATCTCTGAATTTCGGAATTTCAGAAATTCCAGATTTCAAAAATTGTCGAATGTTTGAATTTTTGAAAATCCTGAATTTCAGTATTTCAGAATTTCTTAGAATTTCGATTTCTAGAAATTCTGAATTTCCAATTTTCAGAATTCCCAAATTTCTGACTCCGCCCCTTTTTCATCATCCTGTTCTCTGTTTCAAAGATATCAATTTCATTTTCCAAAAAAAAAAAAAGTAACTCCAAAAAATTTTGGGACCATCATCCCAAGAATTTCCTTCTTTGGTCCCATTGTTTGACGTCACAAAATGTGTGAAAATCGTCTGTTTTTTTGTGTGATTTGATACTTTTTTCCTCCTTTTTTCTCTCTTTTTTTCCTTATTCCATAGATGACGTGAAACAGAAGAAGAAGAAGAAAAAGGAAGTGAAATTCTTTTTTCGAAAAAAAAAAAACGGATTTTCTTTTCTCTTACCCAGACACATCCGGGTCACCATCATTTTTTAAAGAATCGTTTTTTTGGGATGAGCAATGGGAAAAATGAAATGTTTGAATTTCTGAATTTCTGACTCATCTGAAAATTGAGAGGGTTGAAAAACTACAAACTACAAAAATTTTGTCTTAGATTCTTAGTTCCTTAGATTCTGAGATTCTGAGATTCTGAGATCCTGAAACTCTGATATTCTGAGATTCTGAGATTCTGAGATTCAGAAAATCAGAAATTTCAAACTTCGGACATTCTGAAATTCTGAAACTCCGATATTCTTAAAATTTCAGAAAGTCAGCAATTAAGAAATTCAGAAATTCAGAAATTCAGAAATTCAGAAATTCAGAAATTCAGAAATTCAGAAATTCAGAAATTCAGAAATTCAGAAATTCAGAAATTCAGAAATTCAGAATTTCTTAAATTCATAAATTCATAAATTTAGAAATTCATAAATTCAGAAATGCAGAAATTTTTAAATTCTGAGATTCTGATATTCTGAGATCCTGAGATTCTGAAATTCTGAGATTCTGAGATTCTGAGATTCTGAGATTCTGAGATCCTGAGATCCTGAGATTCTGAGATTCCGAGATTCTGAGATCCTGAGATTCTGAGATCCTGAGATTCTGAGATTCTGAGATTCTGAGATTCTGAGATTCTGAGATTCTGAGATTCTGAGATTCTGAGATTCTGAGATTCTGAAACTCTGAGATTCTGAAACTCTGAGATTCTGAAACTCTGAGATTCTGAATTTCTAGATTTCTGAATTTCTGAATATCCGAATTTCGAATTTCAGAGTTTTTGAATTTCCGAATAATTTGAATTTTCGAAAAAATCGGAATAATCTGAATATCGGGAAAAAAACAGCAAAAAACGAAATATGGGAAATTTGGTATCCATGGTTTAACGCCTTCTGGGCGCTTGGCAACAATAAAATTTTGGAAATTCTCTTTTGGATTTTCTTTTTGATTTTTTCTGGAAGTGTCCAAGACTACAAACTACAAACTGCAATTTACAATCTACAGTGAAACTTTTATATTTAGAGGAATCAAATTTGCATAGTTTTAAGAAAAAAATTAAAGAATTTTTGAAAATTTCAATTTTGGATCAAAAACTACATCACAAACTACGCATTTTGGTAAAAGAACCAATTTCTTAGCTGACCTGGGAGCCGAGATACAGTCATTTGAAGTCCAGGAGGGACGCAGACAGCGAGAGCACTCTAACTGTCTGCGTCTCTCGCCTCTTAAACCTAAAACAGCTGTATGGTTTCAAACCGAGCTAGAGAATCAAAACTTTGACTGTTGAGTGTTATTTTTTGTGTGTTTTCAGGTTGACTGTGTCCTGGATGTTTCAAATCACAGAACGTTTTCGATAATTTAGATTATTTCGAAAATGTGAAACTTTTATCACAAACTACACAAAAACCTACGCAGTTTGTTGAAAGAACCAGATTCCTAGCCCGCCTGGGAGCTGAGATACAGGCGTTTCAAGTTTCAGAGAGACGCAGACAGTTAGAATGTCTCGCTGTCTGCGTCTGTCGCCTTCTAAACTTCAAACGGCTGTATCTCACCTCACAGTTGAGCTAGAAAATTGGTTCTTTTTCCAAAATGTGTATTTTTTAATCTAGTTTTTGATCCAAATTTCAAATTAGCGAAAATTCCAAAAGAAAAACCGTGTTTTTGGAGTTTTCAGAAAATCTGCCTTTTTCAAAAAAAGAAAACTATGCAAATTGGATTTCTTCTTCTTCTCCTTTTTTTTCAAAATCTCGTCAACATTTTTTTCTTCCCGCCGAGAGAAAAAATGAAGTGGATGTGCACTTTTTTCGGAATATCCTGACGTCTTCTTTTTTTCGAATTCTGAAGAGAAATAAGAAGATGTCCATGTCTTCTTCTTATTCTTCGTTTTTTAGAATATTGTTCCCTCGGGAGAAGAAAAAGTAGACGTCAGGAGAGCAAAATTTTTGATGGATAGAGGGAAAACTTTTTGAGTTTCTCTGGATTTTTCTGAATGAAAATGGGAAAAAAAAGAGAAAGGGACCAACAAAAACTGGGAAATTTCAAAAATCCAAAAATTAAAAAAAAAAGAAACAGAAAAATTGAAAAATCGGGAAATTTTTGAAGAAAACTGACGATCGGTGGACTACAAACTACAAACTACAAAAACTACAACGACTACAAACTACAAACTAAAAACTACAAAGACTAAAAACGACAATTTTTAAAGAAACGGACGATTGGCGGATGACTAACTAACGGATGGATGGATGGTTTAGGCGCTACAAAGACTACAAACTACAACCTACAACTTTTTTTCGAATTTTTGTAAATCGCGATTTTCAGAATTTTCTGGAATTTCTGGTCTAGAAAGTCCTACATTTTTTAATTTGCTGGAATTTCAGATTTTTCGAAATTTTCAAATGTTAGAAATTTTAGAAACTTCAGAGACTACAAAGACTACAAACTACAAAAATTACGAAGACTTGTAGTCTTTCTGGAAATTTCGAAATCGCGAATTTCGGAATGTTCCGGAAATGCTATTGTTTTTTGAAATTTTCGAAAATTTCAAATGACAGAATTTCTAGAAACTACAAAATCTATTGGAAATTTTGAAACAGCGAAATTCAGAATATTTTGGAAATTTATCTTGGACCAAAAAATATTGGGAATTTGAAAACAAACTACAAAGACTACAAACTACAGTTTTCATTAAAAACGGACAGTTGGCGGGGGATTGACGGATGAATGAGGCGCTTCGGAGACTGCAAACTACAGTGGCTACAAAATCTACAAACTACAGTGGCTACAAAAACTACAAAGACTACAAAGAAACGGCAGGTTGGCGGATGACTGACAGTTTAAGGACCTACAAAGACTACAAACTATAAAAAGTGCTGACTACAAAAACAACGAACTACAAAGACTGCAAAGACTACAAAATACAAACTATAGAGATTACAAACTACAAACTACCATTTTTGAAGAAAACGGACGATTGGCGGATGACTGACTGGCGAATGTGTAGTTTAGGGGCTACAGAGACACAAAGGTTACAAAGGCTACAAAGACTACAAACTACAACTTTTCTTTGAATAAAACATTTATGAATTTTATGAAATTTTCAAATTACTGGAATTTCAGATTTTTTCGAATTTTTGAATTTTCAGCTTTCCGAAATTTCTGGAATTTCCAAATTTTTGGAATTCTAAATTCTCTGAAATTTCAAAAATTCAAAAACCAACAAAATCCAATATAAGCCCCGCCCACTTTTTGCATTTTCAAAAAAAAACGAAAAAAGATTCGCCAAAAGGAGTGGATAATTGACTCAATTTCACTGGATTTTTCGAGTCATGTGGAGATTTTCCGAAGAAAAAAAAAAAGAAAATTGGCTTCGTTTTTCAAATTTTTTGGAAAAAGAAGAGAAAAGAAAGCTGAGCAATGTTGTGAAAATTACAGGTTTTTTTCGAGAATCATGTGATTCTTTCTTGAGAAGAGATGAAAAGAAAATTGGGCTCATTTAATGATAGAAAAAGCTTTTAGAAAAAAAAATTTTTTTGGGGACCAGAATTTTTTCCACGTCATCTGAATCCCCACGTCTTCTGCTTCTGAATCCTCAGCATCCAAATTTTTGATTTTCCGCTGAAATTACCGTTTTTGTTAGAAAAACGTTTTTTTTCGAATTTTTTTTTGAGGATCTCCACGACGTCATCTGAATCCCTGACGTCTTCTGGATTCTGAATCCTAAAAATCTGGAAATCCAAATTTCCGCTGAAATTTCATTCATTTTACAAAAACACAATCATGAGGGAGAGATGTCACCATATCAATATGAGAAAATAATCATCGGGTGGGGGTGGAGCCAAAAAGTGGGCGGAGCCAAATAAACCAATTTTAAAAGAAAAAGGTGAATAAGAAGGGGGCGTAGCTTATTTTCTCCAGATTCAAAAAATTTGAAGATGAAAAAAAGAGCAGGGGGAAGACATGAAATGAGTAAAGGGGGCGGAGCCTAGAAAAGGGGGCGGAGCTTCCTAGAAAATCAGGAAAATGAATCAATTTAAAGGGGGATAATGGTAGGAGAAAAAAACAAAAAATGAAAGATGGATCAAAGGGGGCGGAGCTTAGAAATTCCACTGATTTTGTGCATTTCCAGCAGCCGAAGCTCTAGAATTCTCATCATTCTGACCATTTTCATCGTTTTCATCGTCGCCAAAGAACTGTGTGATGATACGGTAGGCCTGAGTGTAAATCGATTCTGATTGTGATTCTTGAAGACGTTCCAGGGCATCCAATCCACCGTTCTCCTCCACTTCGTCTGCAGAATGTCCATTTTGTGCGAGTAGCTGCAAATTTGGGACATTTTTAGACATTTTAGTGGTCCAGAAGACCCATTTTTAGCACTGAAAAGGGCTTTTTAGACCAAAATATCATCGAATATGGATTTTGAGGCAATTTTAGCACTAAAAACGGTCATGAAATGTGTTAAAAATTCAATTTTTCTTGTCGAATTTCTCTGGAATTGACACATTCCAGATGCTTTGAATTGCATTTTTAGCACCAAAATTAGTCTTAAAATTGGTGAAAAAATTCGATTTTCGCACATTTTTGAAGCATTAAAATCCATTTTTTCAAAGATTTTCTCAAACCAAAATCTCTAAAATTTGGCGAAAATTCGATTTTGGGGCATTTTTAGAACTGAAAATAGGCACA